ATAGCCCTCGTGTAGCTTTGCGCGAAATTAAAAAACAAACAAAAACAAAACAACTTTAATAATTAATATTTAGCAGACTAGTTTTCTGTTTCGTTTTTCTATACACTAAAAAAAAACTGCGTTATAGGGTTTCTACAGAAATATTCTGAACATTTTTCATGGTTGATTTGACACTGCAGTAAACTCTTAGTCTTAATTAAAAAGTAAAATTACACAACCACCAGCTGAGTTACTGATACTTTCCGTACATAACTTCTATGTTTTTTTTTATAAACGTTAATTTACTTTGAAACTAAATGAGAAATATAAGCTTAACTCAAAACAGCCTAACAGTTTGATTGGAGACTGTAATTTACTGTTAGGGTCATATCTCGTAAAATAATCAATCTATTGTCATTCAGTTTTGCATATAGTCTTATCTTCATTTGCTCATGAGAAAATATTGAAAAAATGTGGCTGTTATGGGCTTCGAGCTTTAATTATGAAACTTATTTTATTACAGAATTAGTGAAGCTAGATAATAATAAAGTTTTGTTTTTGAGACAGAAATTGCATACTTGATTTACATTATTACAACAACATCATTTTTCCCATTTTCGTTTTGCATTTTTAGAAGTTAGACGCTTTACTCGGTATTTCTTCTTGGCACGTAATCAAAGTATGACGTCAAAATGGAATTCTAATCAATATTTAAAAATAGTAAAGTGATATTGCGCATACACAGGTAAGCCATCAGTTTATGTTTTTTGTCGACTTTCAAAGCTTTGCTGATAAAACTTCACATTTTTTGTTGAATCTTGGTAATGTTACGAGCAATGTTTTTTGTTTTGTTTTTGGAAAGTACGTCTTTAGAACTTGCTTAAAATCAATTTCTGAAGTGATTAAATTATCATTGACCAAACAGTACGAAAAGGGCTTCACGAGTCTGGCTTAAAGTCAATAACTTGGTCTTCATCACCGCAGTTGACCACACAGTATTACACAACTCCTTTGGAATTTTGTCATGTTTACTGGGACTTGCAGCAAAGATATTAAGCGCCTCTACTCATCCCATTTCCCAGATGAATTAAGTGATTAACAGGTTTGTGTCTGAAGAGACATAGGCAGATAATATGCTGAACGCAACGGTACTGGATGCCTTTACTATGTCCCTCCCTATCACTAATAGAGTTTCTGCCTCTGCAATGCAAACTCCTAATTAATCAGTTGAAAAATTATGTTATGGGGGATCGAATCTCAATCCTCAGCCAAGCTCTCGGACGCCGTAAGGTGGATTATGGCGCTAACGTACACAGGAGGTCCGAGACGTGTTCTGTGAGATTTAGATTGGGACTTCTTGCTGAACAATCCATGATACTATGGATTGCATTCAAGTTAGTCCATCACAATCCTGGTAGTGTGATTCCAACTGCACTCACGAAAAGTCGTAGTATTGAATCCAATGTCATGCCGATATATATATGGTGGATAGTAAATACATCATTTGACAGAATGAAAATATCTTAACCTTATTCCTGTTAATGTCTTCTTGCTCCATAACTGAGTCACCAAATAAAC